AGATGAGTGACATAAATAATCTTGATAATGGAAGATTCGAAAAAACACACAGAAAATTTGTTAAAGAACACTTGTATTTCAACACTCAGCCACTTCATACATCAATGAACGTACTCACGACTCTATATGATTTGTCATATAAACAATATGTTCAAAAACACTGGCTGGAGATAACTGAAGAGGAACAGATTGTTTTAGATGTTGAAAAGGCTAGAATAAAGCAAGCAATGTGGGATGCATTTAATGTTCGTGTACTCGAACCAAGACAAGGGGGAGCTGGATCATCAGATACAGGAAACGTTGCAAGAAAAGTTCTTGAAAATCCAGAGCTTCTAGCTAAAACTCTATATCTTAATGAAGAAATAATTAAACGTATATGCTATGTGCTAAACCAAATTCGAAGTTTAGAACCAGTTGATGATCTAGATGAATTTGATAGGTACTGTAAAGAAACATACAGAATGTTTTTGACAACATATAGTTGGTTCAAAATACCAGTAACACTTCACAGAGCACTTGCTCATGCAAAACACTACATGGAAGCCTTACCATTACCTCTAGGAAGAATGAGTGAAGAAGCCGGGGAGTCACAAAACAAATATCTCAGACAAGATAGAGAACTACGTGCCAGAAAAACTTCAAGAATACACAGTTTTACGGATGTTATACATAGAAGACTCTACAGTTCTGATCCAGTAATAATAAAAAAATATATGGATGTAATAAATAAAAGGTTAATGAGAAAAAATGTCCAAGAAGAAGGTGAAACACCTGAGCAACAAACAGAAAATGAGGAAGAAGATGAGGAAGAAATTGAATTGATTGAGCCAGAAGGAGAAGGTTATGACTTTTCCCAAGCAGAAAACTATGATTATTCCGAAGGACAAGACCATGAATGACATGATATTCTGAAGAAGCAAACAACGAATGAATAAATAAATTTCATTAAATATGATAAAAAAATGTAAATTAAATTTCTTGACAAATAAACAAAATTTCATTAAACTAAAAATTAAACTTTATTAATTTTACCTATTATAGTTGCGTATCAGAGTATTTTTTTTATTACTCTAATGATAATAGCTTTTTTCAGACTTAACATTTCTTAAAAAAGTCCAAAAAATACTCGAGATTGCTTAAAAGTGGTATTTTTGAAAATGCAATTTTTGGGAATTTTTCAAAAACTGCGTATGTCACAATCAACAGCCCTATAAATAACCAGGACTAAGTTAACTAGCAAGTATTATATATCGTTGGATAGGTATTACATTAGGCTACAATAATCCGAAAACAGAATTAAAAAATATTTTTTCAAAAAAAAGTTATAGTGGTTTAAGTAGGGTGACAAATGGCCAAATCGATGGAGAGCACATACCCCCTATATCTCGAAAGATTTTGAAGTTTTTGAAAAATTTTCTTCACAAAATCATTTAAATTGTTATTTTTCATAAGAAAACACCAAAAAACTATTTTTAAAACTATGTTTTCGTATTTTCAAAAGAATTATTAGTTTTTGGCCAAATACTCAACGACCTACTAAAATCAACATAACTCAATTACGTTAGCTTACTTTTTCAAAGTTTATACAGTTTTGAAAACTAGATATATGGGGCTACAAAACTGCGTTTTTACTTGCCTGGAAACTCTTCATTTATGATAGTTGCGGCTTGTTTGAAGATAATTTTCCTGAAATTTTCACATATGTTCTACCATAATGGCACGAAAACATTCAGAACCTAAACTTTGTTATATGTCAAAATAAAGCTCTTATATACTACTAATAGGAACTGAAAACCGTTTTGCAATATCTTAAACCAGTTAAGATATTTCCCGGTTCAAACATGGTATGAAAAAACCAGAATTTTCACTAGTTTTCAACTTCAAACAGCTCTAGAATCGCGAAATCAGCACCAAATGACCTGAAATTTGGCATTTCTATCTACTTTTATGTCCTCTACAAGAAAAAATCACCCAAAAAGTGTAAATCGGAAAAGTCCATTTTTCAAAGTGAAAGTCCCTTTTTTTTTCATTTTGCCCCATAGTGGACTGATTACTTGACACCTTTTGAGAGAAATTGCTCTGCTAGTTTTTTTTTTATGATGTTGTTACTTGAATTTATTAGCACGTTTTATTGCTCACTCGTTTGCAGCAGAAATTTACATTAAAATCCTAAAATGAGCATCGGCAACATTCCACCTTGTTTTATGTATTTATTTATGTATGCTTGGATATCTAAGATGGAAAATAAAAGGCGAATAAAATTGAATAATTTATACGAACAGTTAAACAACAGAGCTCTTTAAAGACTGATTAATGTGTCTTGATTTGCTCCGTCAGCTACTGATTTTTATTAATGGGAACTAGTAAATATTCAACTTGGATTATGCCAAGTGACTATGGGGTTGATCCCTAATGAGGTCTCTAAAAGGTGGGTCTTGATTGATTAGATTGGTAACTTCAGATATGATTCATATTAGATATGAAATGGGGGGGGGGGGGGGCTAGGGACTAAAATTGCAACTTCTCAAACGACGTAATTGATGAATAAACCCTCTATCATGTAGGAGTCACAAGAGCATTAATTCATGAGAGAAGCATCGGATAAGGTATCGAGTATCGATATTAAGATTGTCGATATGGGTAATGGGATAACTGTTTCGAATGAATGGAATATCCGATGCTTTTAAAGAGATTAATTTAGAGAAAAACGTGCCATATTAGTGTGCCCCGATTCAAAATCGTAAGCAATGTCGTTGATTCAGATGGTTGAGCTAGCATGATAATGAATATTTGAGGAGATTACATCAGTGATGGTCAACCTTACATTTGTTCTGCGAAAATATTCGGAAAATCTCATCCCGTATTCCGTGTTCGGTTTCAATCAAGCCTCACCATAAAGGTGTGCCGTGGCACGAAAAAGGTTAATCACCACTGGATTACATTAATAACAGACAGTGTAATGGCCAGACATCAGCTGACTTAGTCAAGGAAACCATTAGTTCAAATTTTGACCTGGCCAAAAGGTTAGATTGTAAATTTTTTTCTTAGATAAAATGCGAGAAAGCTACAATTTGTTAAGTACCTATAAAGTAGCTTGCCCCTTATACAAAAATGAGGGAAAACAACTTTGTGCAAACCGACATCCGGAGGGAAGGGGGGGGGGGGGGGGGGGGAAGCAAGAAAAAAACAATAGAAATTCCTAGAAAACCAATGTTCTTTTTTGAAAAATGACCATTAATTTAGGACGTCATAATCGAACGATTTCTTTTTTTAACACGTTTTTTGCTCGAAAATTAAAATAAATCAAATAAACTACAATATTTTTTTAGTGAAAAATGTAAAGTAGAAGTGGAAAACATCATTTGTTCTCATGACATTGACTTTTATATTCAGTAAAATTATGCAGAAATGTTTTGGCGCCAAAATGCAAAATTTTTTGAATTAATTTACTTTTTCTAAGTAAAATTGTTCATTAAAATTCTTTTAGTGCATGCAAATTGAGCACGATGACAGAATTATTGACATGCACAAAAGATTCATAAATTCTTAAAATTTACTTGCGTAAAAGATTTGACACTTCCAATAAATATTAATATACAGTTTCATTCATAATTCATTACTGTTTAATAAAACTTTTAAAAATAATTCACGTAAACAGTTTAATAAGGCGAAAGCAAGAAGATTGACGTATTATGAAGCATAATGTATATCTCAAATTTCCTCACATCCAGCTCGAATGTTTACGGCGCGAAGACGAGTTCATTAACTTCTATTAATTTTCGTTCGAATTCATCAAATCTTTTTTTTTTGTAAAAATGAAAAAAAAAACGTGAAAATTTTTTAATGGTTGATATAACACATCTGCCTGGTTATTAATGTCTTGTTATTATTGTTTGCTATGACGAAGGAGGTGTTGAACAGAATGATTTTTCACTGTGACCGAACAAAATAATATTAATAACATCATTCTCATGGCTTTTAACGAATTTTCATCGTTGACATATATTGAGGATGAAATGAAAGCGATGTGTGGCATTCGAACTAATTTATATCTGTGCGGTTGTGCGGTTCAAGTCATTCATTCACAGTAAATAATGAAAGGGAATTTTTCAAGACACTTCGGCGTCATGTCGTACATCAAGGTACTGTCAAATTGCTTTTTGAGAATTGACATGAATAAATTGAGAGCGGATGATACGCGCGTACATGAAAGTATTAAAATACAAAATAAGAGTAATTATCAAATGAAATAAAAACAGAAATATGTAGAACGATCAGATACAATGTTATTTATCTTTGAGTCTAATGATTAAAGACTTTAAAGACGCAGGAACAGTGTTGTTGTATGAACTATCGCTTGTGCTAGACATTATCTACGCCAAAATAAAACTCGTGTGAATCAAAATATTGTTATCTATAAAAACTCTGACAACAACCTTTACAGGCTTTTAAACGCCCAGGCACAATCTGGAAAGGTTTAAGAACCCAAACACTTCAATGTTATCTTTAACAACTTGAGTGTGCAAAGTATTAGACACGTTTGGTGAAGCCTTTAAGACACTTAGAGGTAATATCCTGATCAAAACAGCCATTTTCAAGTGGATGCTAAGTTGTTGCCAATCAAGTATGAATCAGTTAAGCAACGCAGTCTGTAAGTTCTTATGAACAGTCATTGATATCATTTGGACGCATGAAAGTGTAGACTAGACAACGATTAGTCCAGCTGATATCTAGTCACTGTTAAGCTTTTTTGACACACATTTCTTTAGGCATCTAGATATACAACACTGTACACAAACATACTCTGTTGAGGGATGAAAATATGTGCTCAATTTTCATTAAGCAATAAATTGCCAAGAGCACTTTCGTTCTTATACTGTCTCGAATCATTAACAGCCTGATTTTACCAAAAAGGATAATGATTAACAGAAACTAATTCTAATAAGTCCAGACGACGCTAATGTACTTGCAGAATTACCACACAAAAAAGAGTAACTTACCTCATAAAAATAAAACTGATTAATTTCATCAGTTGTTACATTCTCAGTGGTTGCTTTAGTGATGCTAGAGATTGTTGATGTTGTCAATGTTGACGCCATGGTCGGGTCATAAATCTGAAATTAATCAGGGAGAAAACAAAATTCTTTGTTCAAATAAGTGAATAGAATGAGAGAATTATTTGTGTGTGAGTATGTGCTCGTTTGTCTTTTGGAGCGTGTGGCATGGATCGATTAAATTTACAGTCTGTTAGCAACTCTTCAATTTCAGAGAGTTTGGATGTAAAACAATGTAAACAAAATATTTTACATTTTTTTTAAATAAAATTTTGCGCGAAAATTGAAAAATCATCAAATCTAGGAATGTTTAAAGTTATTTGTACAGGTATAGTATATTTTCTGTTTTGCTCATGCTTGTTTTATGATATGAACTCATAAAAATGACAAACTGAATCTTAATTATTCCAAATTTAGCTTATAAAAATCTCAAGTGGGAAAAAATCAGCCATTTTGAAAAAAAAAATGCAAAACTCAGACGAAAACTATTAAATGCAATCTAAACTAGCTTGGATATGCACATATATGCATACTAAATTTCCTCTTTTCGTGACAAAGACAGAAACTATGTAGATTTACGTTATGTAAAATGAATGGCAAAGATTTACGAGCAACTAGAATCATTTTCAGATTCTCACAACTATCACAAAAACTACGTACCGTGGTCATTGTTGTTGCCATCGTCGCATACTCAGCAGCCGTTTGATATGCGATATGCTGCTCACTTTCAAAAACCGAGTCATTATTGTGGAGAGCCATCGACAAATTTGTTGTGGATGGATATGGAATTGCTGTGGTCGTGCTGATATTCATTATTATTACACTCATATTTTACTTTATATGAACTTTGAAATCAAATATAGAATTGACTGTTGTCTCCTTTATATTCTTGTGCTTCTTATTCGTTTATTTTTGATAGCTGTGGTGCCGCAAATAATTGAATAAATTGAATCGTTTATAAAGTAATGAAGACTCTCTGCGAATAAGATGGTAATTGAAAATGAAAATAAACTGGACATCGGATAACATCTTTTCGCTCTCTTAAAAAAGAAGAATCTTGGGCTTTCAGCACACTCTCGCTTTCTTGTACTGCCTCAAGTACTTTAAACGTTTTTGATCTTTCTTGGTAATTTTGCTTGCTTCTTCTGTTTGTAACTGTTTCACTACGAAATTGAGACCTGATAAACACCAGAAAGATAAAAGAGAATGAAAATAGAGATAAATTAATGAATTTTTGAAGCTTTATGGATATTTTTTTACAATTGTATAATATGAAGGCAGAGGTAACAGATTGTAAAATTGGAACATATTATTCTAGAGTACTAGAAGATCTGTCTTGTTAACTACTTTTTCAAAAATCAATTTTATAAAACCACTTTTCAAAAATCAAAAACTACCTAACGGTTTTTAAAAATTTGAATATTTTTGTTCTTTTGTTCTTTCAAAATTTAACGATTTTCCGTAATGACAGACCACCAATGAGAATTTTCCACTCACAAACAAGCACCGCGCCATGAAATGAGAGATAAAGCGATTAAGTCATAAACATTAGTCTTGATAAACAATTTTATTTCCTTTCCTTATAACTCAGAAAGCAGAAACTTTTTTCTTCTATTGAAAATAAATTTTTATTTGCCAAATTAATGGATATAACCATTTTTTCCACCTCTTCATTGAATTCCTCTTCTCTTTTAGGTTAAGAAGAAAATAATAATAATATAATCGAATAGAAATGTAAAAAAATCGTGACTCAATAAACTATAATTTTTTTGCAACGAAAAAAATGTGTTTATTATTAATTCTTTCTTTATTCATATCTTCACATCATATATGGATATGACGATTGTGTGTGACAAATCAAAGAAAAGATAATAAAGTGAATGTGATGTATGAAATGATTGGCGTTTGTGTGTTTATATTTTCTCTACTTTCATTCACTTTTCTGACTTGATAAATTGGATCTTTTCTTATGAAATTCATCCGTGAATCATTTTGACAAAATAGATTGAGTCTTGAGTGAAGATGTGACCCGATTTGGGTAGAATTGATTGCTTATATACAAGACCATTTCCGGAAGTATTGAACTTAATTTAAGTCGAGTGCCTCAAGAATCTTATTTAGATTTATTTATAAAATTTGTTTTCAAATATTTACAGAATTTCATTGAAAATATATTGAATGGATTGTGCCTACACAATAATTTATTTTTGATAACAAGAATGAAAGCTTGAGCTTTACTATGAGATCGTTATAAATGAAGCATGCCAGGGATGATGTTGTTATCAATCAAATTCTGATTTTTTCTAATTTTTGTTTTTAAACACAATTATTTCGTTTTAAAATAAATAGAAAGAAAATAGAACGGAAGGCAGAACAACAGAACAAGAAGTTGCAGGAAAAAGCAGCTTTGGCCCAGAATCGAGTGCGATTCAAATGCTTTGTGGACGCCCTACGCTTCATAGTGGAGCAATAAGAACCTATCATCAGTTATTTTTCGAACAATTAATTTTTCCCGCATTTTTTAAGACTTTTAAGATTAGTGAATAAGATTTTTTATTTTTAAGAATTTTTATGCATTTTTAAAATAAGAACTTGATGGAATAAGCTTTGCTCAGTGTTTTTAAAGAGTTTACCTTCTTTAAAGTTATAAATTAACGCGTGATTAAGCCAAAATTCAAGTTCAAAGTCACCAAGTGAGAATGTAAACAAACATTATTTTTTGCATTTTTGAATTTAATTTGACCATTAGATTGTAATGGTTTGAAAGCTCAACTTTACAATGAAGAATTAAATTTAATACTGTTTATTTTAAGATCTTTAGATGATTCGAAAGTAAATTTAGAAATAATCGAATTGATAACCTAAAAGCTTACAAACCCTGTGAAGAATCACAGAACAACATGAAATAAAATTTTAATATTTTGAATTACTTTTGATAAAATATATCAAAACAAGTAATTTCCAGAAATAGAAACAAAAATTACGATCCAATTAGAGAAAGAATAATTTGATCTTAAATTATTTCCAATCCTATTGTAGCTAGGTTATCTACAATATATAAATGGAAATATCTCATTTACATGCCTCGTTATAGGATGAGAAATTATTGAGAAATATTTCATTCAGCAACCTACTTTTAGTTCCAAATTGATTGCTAGCAATTCCAATAAAAATTTATAGGATAAAACAATAAGTGCGTTAAAGTAATTAATTAAGCTAGTGACATCTGTAGCAGAGATAAAGAATATTCAATTTATTTGTAATTTGAGAAAGTCTGTAGGCAAAACAGATCGAATTTCACACGAATGATTGAATGTAGTCATAACAATCGATGCCACATTGTGATCATGGTGATCGGTCAGACGCAATAACAATGAATGAATGTCATCATTTCGCAAAAATGTTTGTAGTAAAAATATTTCAATAGATAATCAGCAGTCAATTGTCAATTATAAAATGGAAAATACGATATGTGTGTTCAAAATTGAGGTAATTAGGTGAATTGTGTAGAAGACTTTTTTATGGGAAATTATTTTTTATTCTCAGAATGGGGAGATGAATCACTTGTGCATGACAACGATTGTTGAAGAAGTCGCTATTGTCCATTAATGATGTACATACAAAATGGAATTATTAGACCTTTTTTGAGAGATTTTAGAGACGCTGATGTCGATGCATACTTGTTCATCAGGATATAGCTGTTTTTAGATTACGATCTCTGAACACGGCAATGGGCCCAGGTGCGCCCTAGCCAAGGAAGTAAGTATGTAAGTATCTGCTGGTCACACCCCTGATTAAATGGGTCCATCAATACATCTTTATCATCAACCACCTGTCTTTCCACAAAAATACCAAAATGATGACAATTTCCAACGTTACTTAATATCCAAACGACCCAAGAGAACGATCCCATAAACAATAAACAATTTTTCATTCAGAACTAGACGCAAATGTATAACAGCTTATTTTAAGTCATGTAAATCATCTGTTTAATTTATGCGTGCGAGAGAAATTTAGAGACGTTTATAAAGTCGCGACATCGTTACTTCTGTTTCGCATAAAAAAAAGTCTTTTGATGATGATCAGGTTTTTATGTGAAAATATCTTTTTATTGTAACGTTCGCTTTCTGTGCTATATTCGTGGGTGATTAAAATATCTTTTTTTTTTGTCCAAAAATAATATTAAAGTTACGAGTGTGCATACGCAAATGTTTACACTACAAACAACACAAATTCCCGATTGGAAATGTTTTCTTGCTTGCTCGTAAGTTGTAGGTAAGTTGAGAACATATCGGGTCTGTGTGGCTACAGCGCATTTTTGGTCTCTGAACTGTTAAAGAGTGAATCAGCCAGGCTGTTCGATAGTCAAGCAGTGAGTTCACAAGTCAAGTAATGAGGCAGTCAAATAGTCAGGAAGTCAAGCAGTCAAGCACTAACGCAGTCAGGTCAGTTTACCATTCATACATTTATGCAATCAAGTCTCAATTTGCTCAAATAGTTCAGCACTCATTAAGATAAATATTTTAGGAATCGAACATTCTTTATGTCAAGCAGTTAAGTATTTACGCAATTACATGATCAGTCAAGTATCAAGCTAGTAAGTCACGTCAACCAGCCAACCGGAAAGCCTCATTAACGCATATTTTTTTCATCAGAATTCCGCGCGTCAATTAGGGACGGCCACACATGCATGTTGAGATTAGTAATAAATTTCTCTTAATTAATTGGTAATTAATGTCAAGGTAGTAATTTCATAAGAAAAAGATATTACAATAAAAGTGACTATACTCCTCCTTGACAAGACATAGAAAATTATTTTATTGATGTCGCGAACACAGTTTTTTTGCTTCATCTTGCTGTGAAAATGATATTCATAAAAAATCTTCTTCAAATAAATCAGTTTCATTATTGTTTTTCATATGTCAAATGAAATGAATTGAGTATAGCGATTTACAGTGAACTACGTAAAACATGTTTTTTTTTTGCGAAATTGACTGCATTTTTCATGAACATCTAGACGATCGTCAGTCACCGACCGAAATTCGAGTCTGGAGAGAAGTATGAATTATTGTGAAAACATCGACATGCTATCTTGAGTCAACAGCTGAGAGTAAATAACAAAAAAAATAATTTATAAAAAAAACTTTTTAAAAAAAACTACGTTTTTCGCGTAGACTAAAAAGTAGAAAATAACTTTTATTCTTGGTTGTAAAGAATTTGGTTTTAAATTTTCAGATTATATTTAATAAATTTTTATATCCTAGTCAATATTGTTCACAAAGTTTCGAATAAGTGCACTTTGATCTTATCGTATAACTCAACAACTTAAAAACGTGGGCGCATTATAAGAGGAGAAATAAGTTTATGTGAAATCAATACTTTATGATAAACTTAAATTAATGCGCCCACGTTTTTAAGTTGTTGAGTTATACGATAAGATCAAAGTGCACTTATTCGAAACTTTGTGAACAATATTGACTAGGATATAAAAATTTATTAAATATAATCTGAAAATTTAAAACCAAATTCTTTACAACCAAGAATAAAAGTTATTTTCTACTTTTTAGTCTACGCGAAAAACGTAGTTTTTTTTAAAAAGTTTTTTTTATAAATTATTTTATTTTCTATTTTTTAGTCTTATTCTAATGAAATAGAGAAATAAAGATTATAGGGGGTTTATAGGTTACAGGTGTGTTGAACTCCACTTCGTTGCACTTCGTTACGTTCAACTGTTTATAGATTACAGTAGGTTCATAGGTTACAGGTGTGTTGAACTCCACTCCGTTTCACTCCGTTACGTTCAACTGCTTATAGATTACAGTAGGTTTATAGGTTACAGGTGTGTTGAACTTCACTTTGTTGCACTTCGTTACGTTCAACTGTTTATAGATTACAGTAGGTTTATAGGTTACAGGTGTGTTGAACTTCACTTCGTTGCACTTCGTTACGTTCAACTGTTTATAGATTACAGTAGGTTTATAGGTTACAGGTGTGTTGAACTTCACTTTGTTGCACTTCGTTACGTTCAACTGTTTATAGATTACAGTAGGTTTATAGTTCACAGGTGTGTTGAACTTCACTTCGTTACGTTCAACTGTTTATAGATTACAGTAGGTTCATAGGTTACAGGTGTGTTGAACTCCACTTCGTTGCACTTCGTTACGTTCAACTGTTTATA